CTGTCCCCCCTGCACGTACACCTTGTGCTAACACTTGGGGCAGGACTTTGCTGGGGCAGGAATGTGGAGCATTTCTGGGTTCGTGGGACCCCAGTGTTTCCTGTGCCCCTTCACTCTGAGGTGGTGGCACTTCATCTTCCATGATGCAATACAGTGTGTCCCCCCTTCATGGCTCTTCGGCCACCAGGTTTCATGGGGGGTTGCAGTTGCCTAGCCTCAACCACCCACCATTCACCATGGCTGCGCTTTGTTTCCCATGAGGCATGATGTTCCCTCACCCAAACCAGCAGTGCCCCAGTACCTTCTGCCCACCCCTCAGTGTGTCTGGACTGCTTCTCCCACAATGTAGTCCCTTCTCTCCCCACCCCCATGTCTCAACTGCCACCAGGCCCTGTGGGAGCTGTAGCCCTGATGTCCCCAGTCCCCTGCAGAGCAGAGCTCTCTTAGCAGGAAGATTATTGTCTAGCGAATTGGATGGCCATGGCTGACTCCAGGCCAGACACACAGGGCAGTGTATTCCCACAGCAGGAAGTTGACCCACAGGCCAATGTCCCTGGGTTTGCAGCAGGATCCCCATCCTGTGATGTCCCAGAGTCCAGGCTGGACATGACCCACCAGGGCAGGCCCAGCAGCTGGGGGTGGGGAAGGGGAGTAATAGGACACTGCCTTTCCTTGGCCTGAGTTGTAGAGATGCAAACACAGCCAGATGCTACCAGATCTGTTGACACAGCAGGCCTTAGAGAAATGTGCCAGAGCAAGGGAGGAGAAGCCAGGATACCTGGGTTCTCCTCTCCACACTCGGCCCCTCAAAAAGACCAGGTTAAGCCTTGCTTCAGGAGTTTATCCCCTGCCAGCATCACCTCCTTGCATTTACCATCCCAGATGCCAGCCCATGGTGTGGTGATGTGCTCCTGGGAGACTGAGCTTCCAGGCTGCTTGACCAACAAGCCCATGGGGTTGTGCTGACCCAGCGCTGAGTGGAGTTGCCTGTGGGAGGATATTGAGCCTCTGATTTGTGTGGGCACCTCTGTCTTGCAGCAAAATCAGGGACTCATGCTAATTAGAATTAATTATTACCCAAGGTTCAGCCAGGATGGCTGGCTTCTGCCCCAGCTCCAGGAAGGCAGTGGGATCTGCTGGGTTAGAGCAGGGGGCTAGCTACTTTGCTACTAGGTTAGTAGAACGCAGAAGTCCCAGCTCCCCCTTTCCCCCCAGTGCTGTTGGTTGTACTTTGACCGCGGTGTAACCCTTTAGTGACTAATTACCTGGGCTGTAGCTAATTTTACCCTTCCCCGTGCCTGGCCATATGCTCAATCGGATTTCGGGGCAGAGCTGTGAGCAAAGACGCATTAGTGTCAGGGTCAATCTGTCAGGGGACCACGGGGTCCTACCCCCCTGCCCCAGCCAGAGGAAGGGGGGCAGAAGCAGTGAGACCCTGCAGAGCAGTCAGCGCCCCCCCGGCATCTTTTGTACCCAGGGTATCTGGCATGGAGGCACAGCTGCACACGCAAATCAGGACCTCACATTCTAATCCTGACGTAAAGCATCACCCTCAGGACACCTAAGCTGCAGAGAGAGCCCAGGTATCCTGGCTCGCAGCCCACCTCTGCCACCAGCCCCCCATTTGCCTCTCCAAGCTGGGGACAAAACCAGGGGTCCTGGCTCCTGTCCCCCTGCTCTAATCCCCCAGACCTCACTCCCCTCCCAGAGCTGGGAACAGAACTCAGGTGTCCCTCTGCTTTAAGCCATTAGGGCCCACTCCTAGCATCCCCTGGTAATGTAATCCTGGAGCTGGCACGGGGGAGGGGGCATTTCAGGGCTAATAAATGCAGTTGGGTGCTTAATCTGAGGGTGTGATACCAGTCTGTGGGCTGAACCTATGACTTTGCCTCTCCCCTCCCCATTCTCTTATGTCTGCTAGAAGCTTTACTATAGACTCACCAGGATCAGGGCCCCATGATATTGGGCACTGCCTAGGCCCAGAGTCCCTGGGATGAAGGCCCTGTTACTGAACATGCAGACAGAAACCCAAAATGCATCCAAGCTTGGGTGCAAAGGGAAAACTGAAGCCCTGAGCGAAGCAGAGACATCCATAGCTCCCCAGTAAGGCAGGGGCAGGAATAAGACTTAGGAATCCGGGACTGGTGGACCCCTCTGTACCACACTTGGGAAAACGGAGAGAGGGAGGGACAGAATGAAGGATTGTGGTACTCCAGGCGGTAAGGATTTGGACCTGTGTAAATCTCTGAAGCCTCTCCCCAGGCCCAGCCCCCACTGCTAACTGCCCCCAACCCTGAGTTTTCATGGGTCATCCCTGGGTCCTGATGCAGTGCAGTGGGGGTCTGGGGGGGATGGTTCTGGGTCAGTGGATCCAGAGCAAACGATGCAGTCTTTTAGCATATGGGTCAAGACAGATGGAGCGAGTGGGATGGGGCCTGAGGGACGAGTTGGTGTGATCAGCTCACATAGAGCCACTAGAACCCCCAAAGCACACAGCTGGGACAGGGGTATAAGTGTTCGAATGTGTGTGAGAGAGATAACACATCCAGTGTCTGTATATGCATAGGTGAAACACAAAAGGATCGTGAAGGAATTGTTTGTGTGGGAGAGAAACAGTGTGTGAGTACAACACATGGTGGTCAGGGAGAGATGGGTAGGCACAACACAGTGGGACCAGTGGGTGTGTGTATATACACTCATAGACTCATAGATATTAGGGTCGGAAGGGACCTATTAAATCACCGATTCTGACCCCCTGCCCAAGGCAGGAAAGAGCATGTGTGTATGTGCCCAGGCCTGTGCACACCTCATGAGCCAGCTAATAGGGTAACTAATCGTTTTTGTCTCTGGGCTCAGTGCCGCCTGCCTGCTCTTACCTCAATCCCCAGCCCTGAGAGTTTTGGAAGGAGCCCAGAAGCCTCCACCCTTTGGAGGATGGCCCAGGGGAGACAAGCTGGAGATGGGACGTGTCTTGCAGGATGTGCCTTGCCTGAGCCAGAGCCAAAAAGGGGGTCTGGGGGGGGAGGAAATGTCCCTTTACAAATCTGCTTGTCTGTCTGTCTATCCATCCCCAGCACCTCCTCCATCAGTCTGGTCGAGCTCGCCCTGGCCTAGTAGGCCATGGCTGGCTCCACAGCCCATTGTGCTTTCCACCAACTGATCCTGTCCCCCACTCCAGCCCAGCTGGGACCTGTGGCTTCTATTGAGAGGCTGGCCCAATCCTTCCATTCCCCTAGTCCAAGCCAGACTATGTCCCCAGCTCCCCCACCCTGTCCAACCAGTCTGTCTGGTGCCAGTGGTGTCCCCTGCCTCCATTCATGGGGTGGATCCACGGGGAGGTGTGGTGGTATGGTCACACCCTACCTTACGGTGTGTAGTGAAGTGAGCTCTATCTCCCAAGTCTGGCATGGGATACTGAGGGGGGGGGGAAGGTGAGGGGAACAAGCATGCATGGATCAGATGCAGAAAGGAGGGGCATTGTCCCACAACCATTCCTGTTCTCAGCTGGCTCAGGCACAAGGCAAATCTCAGGGCTGCTCCTGCCCTGCTCCAGCCAGGACCTGTTGGGCATGGCTGCAGGGGTTGTCAGGCTTGGCTGGGGAGAGCAGTGGTGGATAGGTCCCTTCTTCCTGCACCTTCTCTCTTCCTGGCCCCCACCAGTGTGACCCACAGGCTTGGAGGCTCAAGCTGTGCCTCACCAGCATCTCCTCCTTGGTGGAGCTGTGGCACTGGACCAACCTGTCATACCCTACTTCTTAAAATTCTGGATCAGCCTATGCCCCCATATCCCTGCTTCCAACCTGAATCCACCTCCTGGGACATTTCTAGGCAGTGACCAGGCTCTGCCAGGCTGAACAAACCTTGTCTACTCACGTACAATGGTCTCTGAAGCCCCCAGGCCCCAGAGCCCTTGTACTCACCTACCCTGGCCTCCCCACCAGTACAGTGGGCAGCTTTCCAGGGGTGGGGGAGCTCTCTGGGCCTAAGACATGGACACCAACACTTCTGGTCTCTGATGGAAACCTTGCCTGTTATGTCCCTGGCTTGCATTGACCTTTCCCATGGCTGAGGCTCCCAGTCCTCCTGCCTTCCTCTTCTCCCCTGTTGCTTTTGGCAGCTGAGCTCCCAGTCTCCAGCAACATTTGTTCATTCCACTCTTGGTACATTTTGCTATTGTGGCAACTTCTCCACCACCCCAACACCCCCAGCACTGCCTTAAAGGATATTCTGATCCTCCTCTGCCCAGACAATGCCTCCAAACCTTGGGCTACCAGCAAAATCCATTCACCCATGTCCACTTTCCATGTTGAGGACATGAAAAATGACACAGGACAAGATCAGTGCCATGAGAGTCCACAAGGAACTCCCTGATAGCCTAAGACCCCCTCATCAGCATCAACATGGATCATTTGCCCTCAGACTGGTCCCTACCCACCTTCCAGCTCCTAGACAAACTACACTGCCCCAGACCAACCAGTACCTGCTCCAGTCCCAAAGGATGACTAGAGATGGCCTCTCGCACAACCCATCCCTGTTCACTCCCTTAGACTAGACTGGCAGATAGATAGATAGATAGATAGATAGATAAAAAAAGGAGTTGTGAATAGAGAGAAAGGGAGAGAGAGAAGGGAGTGATTGGCTGGATAGATCAATAGTGATCTATTGATCTATTTATCAATCTAGGTGCATGGCTGGAGGGGGTGTGTTGGGCTGGACAGACAGATAGCCATGGGGCTGTGGGGGTGTGAAGGTGAGGGCCTAAGGGCAGGAGACAGGCCGCCAAGCCGCTCAGGGCTGCTGAGATCCCGTTAAGCACCTACTGATCCCCTGGCAAAAATAGCTTGGGTGCGTTTGCGGAGGAGGGGGGTGGGGGGTGGGAGGCCGAGCTGTCACCAGTTCCCACCCTCCACCCTCCCAGCCAGGCGAGTCTACAAAAGGATGCTGTTGGGGGGGACGGCCAAATCCTAGCAGAGCCAGCAGCAGGGTGGGGGGCCAGGGCCATGGGGAACAGCAAGAGCGGGGCCTTGTCCAAGGAGATCCTGGAGGACCTCAAGATGAACACACGCTACACGGAGGATGAGCTGTGCCGTTGGTATGCCAGCTTCCAGAAGCAGTGTCCTGATGGGCGCATCAGCCGTTCTGAGTTTGAGAAGATCTACGCTAACTTCTTCCCCAACTCGGACCCAAAAGTCTACGCCCGGCATGTCTTCCGTAGCTTCGACACCAATGATGACGGGACACTTGACTTCCGGGAGTACATCATTGCCCTGCACCTCACCTCCTCAGGCAAGACCCACCTTAAGCTGGAGTGGGCCTTCTCCCTCTTTGATGTTGACCGTAATGGTGAGATCAGCAAGAATGAGGTCCTCGAGATCATCTCGGTGAGGCCTGGATGAAGAGCCGCCAGCCTTCCTGCAGCATGGAAGTGGGGAATGAGATGGGGGTGGCTAGAGTCCCTGCAGCAATGCCCTTGGACTGGGGATGAGCAGGGGTGCATGAATTTCCCCGGCAGTGCCCTGAGAAGGGCGAGATTGGGGTGGGAGGCAGTGAGCACCAGAGTGATACTTGAGCAGGGATGAGCAGGGACTGGAGCAATGCCCTGGGGGGCAGGGGGATAATCTGGGGAGCAGTGAGCTTTCCTGCAACAGTGTCCTGGGAATGGGATGAACTGAGTGGGTCTGTGAGCTTCCCTACAGTGGCGCCCTGAGCAGTGGGGAAAAACTAGGCAGAGCTGCATGGTTCTCCTCCAGGCCGTACCCTGAGAGGGGCACAGAGCATAGAGAGGAGTGTGATGTAAGAGGGTATCAGTGTTGTGAAGGAGGGGTGTGGGAGCCTGTAAGCCTCCCTTGGGGTGGTACCCTAAGAAGGGACTCAGGGGAGGGAGCGGGATGGAGACAATTAAAGATGCATGTCATGAATGAGTGACATGGACTGCAAGCTTGTCCTTGAAGCAGTGCTCTGAGAGGCACATGGGAGGAGGCGAAGGTTTGAGAAATAGGTGGGTGTCACTGTGGACAGAGTGGGAATGGGGAGCCTTAAGCTTCCCTGCAGGAGCACCCTGATGGAGATGGACTAGGGGTGAGCCTGCAAGCTTCCCCTCAGACCAGTGTCCAGAGGCAGTGGGAGGTGGTGAGGTCTTGGTACCTAGGAGAGCTTTGGTGCTGAAGCTGAAGATTCCCCATAACTATGCCCTGATGGGGAAGAAGCAGGGAGCTGCAAGCTTCCCCTTAGGACAGTGGCCAGAGAGGGGGTCTGGGGGGTGGGGCATGCAGCATGATGAGCATCTTAGGAGAGCTTTACAGTTAAGGTTTGGTAGGGTGGTGGAGGTGGGTGTTGGGTCTGTGAGTATCCCTAAAGTCATGTCCTGATGGGAATCTACCCCAGAGCAGTGCCTTGATGTGGGGTTGTGAGTGTCCCCTGTGGGCAGCACTTTGAGACAGGACAGGGGGAGCTTTGGTGCTGTGAAGGGGGAACATGGGAGCCTGTGATCTTCCCCACAGCGCTGCACTGAGGTATGAACAGGGGCGTTGCAAGCTTTTTCTCATGAGGGGTTGGGGTGGATAATAGGACAGATAGCTGCCCTAGGAGATGAAGGTGTTGAAATGGCAGTGCCCTGTGGTGGCTCTGACACCATGAAGAGGGAACATGGCAGCATCTCCCCAATAGCAGCACCCTGTCCATACCTAACTAGCATGAAAGCCTTCTGGCTGGGCATGTGGGTGGGAGCAGGGGTCAGGGCACAGCTCCTTGGCCTGGGATGTCTCTGACAGTGATGGGCATGAGACAGACACTTCTAAGGGGGTCTGCTCTGAGGAGACCAGCATGGCAAAGCCCTCATGAGAAATATACCACATCAGACTCATGGGCTTACCTACCCCAACATCCAGATTCCCTCCCTGCCCCAGATCACCCCATGGGCCCAGCTACCATTGAGGAGGTTCTGCTTCCCTTTACTGGTCCTCTGTGCAGACCAGTAGGCACCTAAGCCGAGCTCTGCTTGCCAGACCAATTCCCCCTTCTAAGTCCATCTCTCTGTCTGTGGGGGCTGCAGTGGGAATCCCCTTGTCGGAGCCCAGGCCTCCCAGGTTCCTGGGTTCCCCTGTGTCAAGTGGACCTGGGAAGGCAACTGCCATAACCACAGCTGGGGAAACCTTGCATGTCAGGGTTACTACATCCCTTTACATAGCTGCACCCGAGTGCAGCCCCCCCCCCCCCCCCCCCCCCAAGCTGTTCTGTCCAGGGGAAGTGTGTGTGTGTGTGTGTGTGTGTGTGCGTGCGCGCGCACGTCATTGCGCGTGTATGTGCATGCGCGCGCACACATATATCAGAACACATTAATTTGTTCCTGGTGCCTCCTGCTGGTGGATTTGGGCTCCCTGTGCATGTGCATTCATGTGCTTCTATTACCCCTATTGGAGGAGACGGTCCCTCTTGCACGCAGGTGCGAACAACCTAGTGGCACTTGTCCTGGCTTTGTGGATGCACCTCAGCATGTTTGGCTTGCACAGCACCCAAGTGGCCTCAGCCTCCATGAAGGGCATTGGTTCCCGCCCACAGATGAGAATCCTGTTATGCTAATTGGACTTGATGACCACCCCACCTTCTGCAGGCCCTCCCTGCAACGGCAGGGGGGGAAATGTGTGTTAAGAAGCTCCAAAACAGCCCCAGCCCTTGAGCTGGATTTGCGGCTGCAGGCAGATGAGAAATACCAGAGTGCCACTAGGAGAAGGGGGAAATGTCATGGTCTCACCATTGAGGCCCCTCCAGGAGCAGAGCAGGGAGATAACCCTGGTGTCCAGGATCCACCCCAACCCTCCATTGCAACTCAGAAGACCCCACGTTCCTCCCAGAGCTGGGAAACACCTTGTATTGCCTTCCAACTATGTGTGCACATGTGTGCATATGTGTGTGTTCCATAGAGACTGAGAAGCCTGCTCTGCCCTGTGGTGTTGGCCCCATAGGCAGGAGCCCTGGGCTGGTGGCTGGGTCTCTAGGGTGACTTGTGACTGAGTGAAGGGGAGCCTGGCACTGTTTGCTGAGGACTCCTTGCCACTGGATTGTCAAGGGTTTGAAGATCAGCTCCCCTCCCCTCCCCCTGCCACCAGACTGTCACTAGATCCTTAGCACAGGTGCCAGATTTACCTTCTGGTCTGTGGTGAGAGCAGGATACTGGGGCCAATGGGCCTGTGAGGCTGATCCTGGCCAGGAAGAGGCAGATAACAGGTGGATCTGTCAGGCTAACTGCAGGACGGGGCTCAGCTAACGAAAGGACAATGGTGTAAAGTATCTAAGCAGAGAGGGAAAGCCCCTGACTTTATCTGTCCAGCCATCCTTGCTCACTCCCTCTATGCATCCAACCATCCCTATCCCCTGTCCAAGTACTGACCTTTCACATCTCCATGGCACTGGCCCAAGGTTGCAAAAGGGTACAAAAGTATGAGACTTATGCTGCCCTCAATCCCCAGGGAATAAATCATCTCCACACAGATGCACTTGCTTCTGGTAGGGAGCACACTGAGGCTGGGTAGGCAGAGCTTCCTCACCTGTCCCTGAGATGTGCCCCATCCCAGAGGTGATGGCATTGGGGATATTCTGCTTTCCCTCCTAACACATTCCTCCTCTCTGCAGGCAATATTCAAAATGATTCCTGCTGAGGAACAGAAGACCCTGCCTGAGGATGAAAACAACCCTGAGAAACGGACAAACAAGCTCTGGGCCTACTTCAAGAAGGGAGAACATGGTAACAGGCCCCTCCTCCACCCCAAGTCCTGCTTCCTACTGAGCCCAGATCCCTAGGGGGGCACTTCAGTTACACACCCAGCAACAGGGCAGGGGGTAGCAGTGCTCACACATGCATAACTCAACGCAGGACATTTTCCTCTTCCCCCTCCCCAATCCTGAAATTCCAGTTACCTTAACCCCCCAGAGATGGACCAACCCTAAGCAGGCCAGTGCCCCCCGCCCCCAAACCAGACTGGGGCAGGGGCCTGGAAGGGATATCCCGGCCTGGAAATCTCATTAACCATTTTTCTCCTGGTCCCTCTTTCTTCCCTCCTTGTTTCTGCTGCAGATAAAATCGCTGAGGGAGAGTTTATCTCTGGAGTGATGAAGAATGAGGAGATCATGAGACTGATCCAGTACGAGCCCAAGAAATAGGCAGCCAGAATGTGCCCAGGGAGGGGTCTCCACTGTGTGCACGGCCGCACCAAGGAATGCATGAATGGGATGGATGAGTGTGAGTGTGCCTGGGTCTGGGTGTGACTGCAGAGGTTCAGCTTCTTCCCTCCTTTCCCTCTGGTGGTACCACTTGATGCTCCATGAGTGACCAAGCTGGCTCCCAGGTGCTGCAGGATTTGGTGGGTTAGAGCAGAGGGGCTGGGGGGAGGATACTTGGGTTCTATCCCAGTTCTGGAATGGGGGGTGGGGTGTAGTGGGTTGGAAGAGGGGCACAAGCCAGGAGCTAGGACTCCTAGCTTTGGGAAGGGAGGTGTGGCTAGTAGTTTAGAACAGGAGGAAGTAAGATAGAATAGATGAAAGAGAAGGAAGGGAAAAGTGAATGAGAAAACAGATGAAGGTAAAATCCGTCTCCACAGACTCACTGAGATATGGGCCTCACTTTGCCAGTGCTGGCCAGTAAAACATAAATACCTAAACCACCAGACCCCACTGCCCTCCCAGAGCTAGGGACTGAACCTAGGAGAGATTGAACACTACTACTATACCTGCAGCTGGCAGAAACAAACCAAGTGTCCACAAATGGGAAAGGCAGCTCTGAAGCCTAGGTGTCGCTCGCCTATGAGTTCATCTGCTCCCTTCCCAAGCCCAGGTGGAAATGAATCTGGGTGAGTTTGCTGCCCACTTGTCTGAGCTCTTCCCTCACATCAACCTCAGTGCAGCCCCACAGGATTGCTGCCTGTGAGGGGAGGGGAGGTGCACATACATGTGTCTCTCATTTGTGTACTTGTACCTGTTTTTCAATAAAGAGCATCGCGTCATGGATAAACACGACCCCACTGGCTCCATCTGTCCAGGCAGGGGACTCAGATGCGGAGGCTGCCTATTGCCTTCCCCCAGATCTTTTGAATGAGACATGGGAGAAACACTAACCCACAAGACCCATTAAAACAGAATTCCCTGGTCTGACCCCTGGATTCTATTCTAATTCTAGAAGTCACGTCTCAACTTTCCTCCACCTCATCCCTCAACTCAGCATATCCCACTCTGCTCTGTGGAGGCACATACCACATTAATGCCCCAGCAGCAGGAGAGCATGTCCCAGGCTCCCCAACCTGGGTGGACAGAACCCGAGTCCTGGCTCCTAGCCACCCCTTAACCCGCCCCAGCCCCCGAACTCAGTAAACCCAACTGCTCTATAGAGAACCCAGGAGTCCAAGCCACAGTCTCATTCCACATCAGTGTCCCAGAAGCCAGAAACAGGGACCTGATCCCCCCCCAGCAAATCAGCTTACCCTACCCAAAGCCTGCATTGAGACTCTCCCAGGCAGACAACACAGGCTCTACAGTGGTAGGAGGGCGCCCCCTGGTGGAGGCTGGAGTGCAGGGCCCTGTATGACTCAGGCTGTTCAAGGTTGAATGCCATTTACTGGGCTGGAGGAGTAGGAAAGGGAGGAGGCTGTGGGTCAGAATGAGAGGCAGCAGCAGACTGAGGGACAGTAGCTACGCTAACAGGTGGTCTAGGTCAGTGGTTCTCAGCCTTTTTTGTAACAGGACCCATTTGTAAATATCAATGGCCAGTCCCAACCCAGTGTCCCTTACTCCCAACCTGCTGCTCACTGCCCACCCAGTGTATGGGGAATGGGGGGCCCCCAAGCAGCCCCTTGCAGCTGGAACTCTGCCAACCTGCAAGAAAAAGCCACTGTTTCCCATTTTGCTCCTTTAAAGGAGAATCTATTTTTAAAGTCTGTTGATCCATTTTTTTTAAGTTTGCTTGCAACCCTTTCATATTTTCTTGCAACCCACTTCTGGGACCTAGGGCTTGAGAAACGTTGTTGTAGTTTGAGACTGTGGGACACCAGCCAAGATGGGAAATACTAGATTGTCAGGGAAGTAGGGGAACCCCTTGGGGAAATGCGTGCCAGATGCAGCCCTGGCACAGTGCAGTGTCTTACATGTGTCCTTGGCTAGGCAGGCGGGTTTACCAGAACAAGCAGCTTAGGGACATGGTTCCAGGGTGCTGGCAGGAGGATTAGTAGGGATCATGCTAAATGGATTGGAGCTGGTTAGATCCTCCTCCCTTCTCAGACTGGGGGTGGGGGAGCAACACATTATATAACCCACCCTCTCCCCACTAACAGGTTCAAAAGCAAATAGCTTAGCTGCCAATGTATGTCACTGCAGTTAAGAAAACAGGAAAAGCCCAGAGATTTCTGGATCACTTGGTTGAGAGCACAGAGCTAGAGCAGAACTGGGCAATGGGAGGACACTGCAAGCCAGGACACCGGGAAACTTGTCCAGCTTCATGGAGACTAGCCCCAAAGCCCTTTTCCCTACCTACTTTCCCACTGGAACAGGGCATAGCACAGCTTCATGAACCTAGCAAATAGATGAGCCTGCCCCAAGCCAGAGTGCAGTAATAAGCCCTCAAGACAGGGCCAAGACTAAGCAGCTTTCCCCCACCCTCCAAAATGATGCACAGGCAGACTGTAGACTGGACTCAATACTTTATTGAACCTAGGGACTGCTCATGCTGCTTTGGTAGCCCTAGCCCTCTTCTTTTTCACAACCACTGGCTTCTGGCTCCGCAGGATGGCACTGGCACGGCGCAGGGCAGCCTGGGGACAAGAGAGGCTGTAAACAAGCATGCCCCCCAACACACACACATACACACACACAGGGGTCCTTGTACAGCAGAGCCAAGACCAAGATTCTAGAGTCAGGACTGCTAGAGCCCACAGTAGGACCCCTCCCAGCCCTGCTTATCACTCACAGAAAGGGGAAGTGTGAACAGGCATAAACCAACTGAACACCTATGAATACCCCAGCCCATGATCATTCACTGCACCATGGGTGGGGAGAGGACCTTACTGTCTAGGGCATGGCCAGCCAAACACCTATTAGCACACCCTCCCCACTTCCCACATATACACACCAAACTGTGCCTGAAGGGAGGCTTGGCAAAAGCCAAGTACCCAAGATTCCCTATGGAGATGAATATCTCCTGTGAAGAGGGTTGCTCATAGATATCCTTTTCCTACATCGAGAACGTGATGCTCTAATTAAGCACAAGAGCACCAATCGGCTCACCCCTTATCCCAGTGTGGGATGGAAATGCTGACCAGGTATAGTGAGTCAAGTGCCCATCTGCCTCCCAGATTAAATCCTCATCTGGAAGCATGACAGCACCTCACCTCTGCCCCTTTTTGCTCATAAGGGCTGGGCCACTCAGCCACAAGCTGGCTGCACATGCAACAGGGTCGGCACCAAGCCCTCCCCCCTAGAAGGGCAGCCTGAGGACTCACTCACCATGCGCAGGTCCTTGCGGTAGTTATTCTTGCGTATGATGTGACGCAGGCTGCTGAGCGTGGCCCGGGCATTCTTGTTGATGGTTGTCTTCTCATATGACGTGGCTGGTTTGCGCTGACCTGGGGGCGCAGGAAAAGAGGGGTCAGGGATCAGAGTGGGCTCAGGAGAAGAGACTGGAGGACGTGCTGGGGTGGCGCAGCAAGGGGGATTGGGGCGAGGGCTTGTCTCCTTCAGGGGCCGATCCAGCACCAGGGCTGAGTGGGCGGCAGGAAGAGAGCACAAGCGAGCGCAGGAGGCCAAGACCCACCTGCACGTTTCTTCAACACCACCACGATGCCCTTGCCATCGGCAGCAGGCTCCACCCCGATGGTCTTGCGGTGGATCAGCCCATTGTAGCGGAACGAGTTCCTTGCCTTCAGGTTGTTGGGCTCCTGCAATGAGGCGAGATCCCGTCAGCTGGGCCCGGAGCCGCCCCGGGCCTCGCCCTCGCCCCCGCCCCCCAATCCGCCCGGCTCGGTCCCCGGGGCTGCACATCCCAGGCGGGGCGGCCGTGCCGCGGCACTCACGGTGCTGTAAGTCTGCTTGTTCCGCTTGATGAGGAAGCTGGAGCAGTTACGCACGATCATCCACTGCAGGTGGGACGACATCGTGGGGCTGTGGGAGACAGACAGGACGCGCCTCAGCTCAGCACCACCCGGCGGCGGGGGGAGGAAAAGGGCGATTAGGCCTGTAACGCCGCGTGCTACCTGCGTTCGCCGCCGCTACCGGAAACGGAAAGGGGGGCCCCACCCCGGCAGAGCGGCTTACAGCCCGCCGCAACGTAACTTCCGCCACCGCTTGGCCGTTTCCGGATCCTTTCGGCTCCGCTTGGGCTGAGCGCGCACCGCGCCTGCCTTCCGCCTTGGGTTAAAAAGGTTAATTTAAAAAAATGTTTACATTTATTTTTGTTTCTCATTTAATTTCTTAGGCAATAACACTTGTTATTTACTATAACAGTTAGACATGCCCCCCCCCCCCGGGGGTCCCTTTTTTTGGAACTGGAAATATGGTAACCAGCCCTGGGTCCTTCCCTCCCTGCTTTTACCCTGGCCCCTTGTGGCAGGTGTCCACGGCCCGTGGGAGCCTTGCACACCTGTGGGAGGTTGGTGCAGGGCCCTGGCTTCTCCCCCCAGGCCCAGACCCTGGTTTTCCTTCCCTCCCCCCAGCCCCTTTCCAGGCTCCAGGACGTTTCACATTCTGTGAGCTGCTATTGCACTCCAGGTTTCACACCCAGTTTTGTGCCTGCTTTGGCTTTTTTTTCCAAGGCATGTGGAAGGAACTGGGGGGGACCTGTGAGTCCAACCTGGAGGTGCCTGGGTCTCAGGGGAAGCCTCCAGCTCCTCCTCGCTGTTTGTCACAGGAACAGGCGCCATCTCAGCTTGGCCGTCTATCTGTTTGCCCTCCCATCCCCACTTGCCAGCTTCCTCGCCGTGGACAGTGCTTGGGAGCAGGGGGCTGTGAGTTGGGAGCGAGGGGCACTGGCAGGCCAAGGGAGCCCCAGGGTGCTGGGGAGCAGGGGGCTGTGGGTCCAGAGTGAAGGACACTGTTAATTATGCTGGGCTGGTAATTAAAGGGCTCCCGGGCAGGGACATTGATTCTCAGTCCCTAGCAAGGCAGAAGCTGGGGAATCAATGCAGTGGCTGGGCAAGTGGAGGGGGCTAGGCACAGTGCAGCGCAGCGCTGTGCTGTGCTGTGCAGGGAGGTATAGGATGGGGCTCTGGGGGGTCCTGGTGTTGCTGGGGCTGCTGTGGGGCAGGGGGCTTCCCTTCGAGCTGCAGGAGGCGCTGCAGGAGCTGCAGAGCGAGAATGCCCGGCTCCACGGCTACATCCAGAACCTGAGCGACGCCCTCAGTGACCTCAAGCTCCTGCTCTGGGACCACGCGCAGGGTGAGAGCTGGGGGGCCTGGGGCCAGGGACCTCCACAGAGCAGGGACCTCCCCACTGAGAGCAGAGAGCTCTTCCAGGACCATGAGCATCCTCCCCAACAGAACAAGGATGCCCCCTACCAGCTCCCTTGGGTCCAGACTCCTTCAGAAATTAACTCCTTTGGACCAGCACCCCGCTCCATGAGGCAGGTCCTTCCTCACCTCCCTCCAGGCAAGCACCCCCAGATTGCACCTCCCCTTGAGATAATAGCTCCCTTAGTGCTGAGCCACCCACTCCCTTCAGGAGGGGGGAACCCCATTCCCCACCCCACCCCTCTACCCCCCACAAACACCATCTTCTGCCCTCATCCCATTCTTAGGTCCAAGGGACATGCTGACACAAGGTGGGGGGTCACTTCTCTGAGGACTGCGCAGCCCCTGGGGGGGTTCCCGCAAAGAGGGGCACTCCAGGGACCTGGGCTAATGCCCCCCCAAACTCATCCCATGTGGGGCAAGCTCCCTTTGAGAGGGGAAGCCCCACCAGCCAGGGGCTATTGGGAAGAAGGGGGGCAGTCCCTGCGGGTCTCCTAACATCCCATCTCTCTTCCTCCTCAGATTTGGGAACTTCGGCAGAGCACCTGCATCGCTCACGCACCCCCTGCCATCTGGACACCCCACATCCCAGCGCTGCCCCCCACCCAGGCACCCCCCACCTGGGGCTGCTGGGGGGAGCCCTACTTTTGGGGGCACTAGCTGTGCATGCTGCTCTCTGGGAGCTGAGGGGACCCCAGGATCTGCCTGCACCCCAGCCTGGAAATCCTTTGGTACCCCCTAGCCTGAGACTTGGACCAGCCAGCAGGGGGCGCCACCGTCTGCTCCACCTCACCTGTCCCCTCCATTGACCACCAGGGGTGCTGGGACCAGGCCTCTCCCATTCCAGGGCGCTCTGCTCCTGCTGTTGGTTGTGAGCCAGACTGCTGTGCTCCCTCTCTTCTCCAACAGGGGGCACCACCACAGCCCTTGCTTTGCCCACCAGGAGGCACCACTGTGCTGCCCGCGTTGGTCATCAAAGGGTGCTGCCTGTCCCATGGGAGCCCACTGCCTTGAGACCTGAGTCACTAGTTCCAGCCCCATGCCCGGCATCTTGCCCCCTCCTGTGTAGGGGGAGACCCTACCCAGCACTGGAACCTCTGGATCAAGCTGGATGGACGCTTTTGCCCACATATATGAGACTGAAGGCCCCGACCTGAACAAAAGGGTATGGAGTTTTGCCCAGTCTTGGGCAAAGCAGTAGGGGTGGGGGAGGATTGCATGGTAGGGGGTGCAATAGCCACATGGCTGGGGGGTTATGCCTCTGGGAAATTCCCCCCCCACAAGTGCAACCCTACAAAAATAAACAGATCAAAATGGGTATAGTTGGGCTGCTTGTGTTTGTGGAGCCAGGCCAGGTATATGTGTACTAAGGGTGGGGGACCTTGTATAACCACCCCCTGATGTGCCCCACCCCAGAGGTAGCTGCATCTCAGCATGAGGCAAGAAGTCCCTGTGTAACCAGGATCTCCTCCCCTACCCTTCACCCCTTTGATCGGTAGCTGCTCCTAAGCATGTCAGAGCGCGTCCGGGCTGACACTAGGATGCAGGAATATGGGTCACTCAATTGGCTTTTCCATTCCCCAGGGCACCCAGCACGTGGATCTCTTCTAGCCACTGGATTCTCAGATGCCCTGGGGTGGGGCCAAGTTGGTTGTGGCTTGCGGGAGAGCAAGGCAAACAGATTTGATATTACTGTCCTGAGGAAACGGACTGGGAGTGGGGTCCCTCTCACAGGATCCCACTTACTGCCCCAGACCCAGGGGAGAGCCCAGGAGTCTGGGCTGGCAGTGCCCTTGCTCTAACCCACCAGACTCCCATTCCTTTCCCCTCCCTGAGCTGGGATAGTACCCAGGCATCCTGACTCCCATCTGGCCCTGGTTTCAGGTCAGGCTCCTCTGTAATTATTTTGCTGTGTTTAAATCTCTCCCTGGCTCCTGGGAACATGGTTTGATTCTGAAACACGTTGATCTGAAAGATAGGAACATGCAAAGCTGCTCCTTGCGGCCAGCTGGGCGCTAATCCGTCTGCGGCCCCACCCCCACAGGATGAGTGAGGGGCATGTTAACACACACATGCAGTCTGACTCCACTCTCCCCACGGCTGGGAGAGGACCCAGTCCCCTTGCTGCGATCCGCCAGAGTTCCCAGAGCTGGGATGAAACCCAGGCATTCTGGCTTCCAACCCCCTGCTCTGACCCACCAGACCCCCACCTCAGGCAGCATGATCTTCTTTCGCCCCCTTCCCATTGTGTTTAACCCCATTCCTCCTCTCCAGCTTCCCCTTGCAGCCTTCCATGCCCTGACAGACACCCCAGGACAACTGCCTAAGGCAGGACAAGCATGCACAGACACCACCCCCACCCCCGGCCAGATTGGGGGTCTGTGCTCTCCCTAGTTCCACTTCCCTGGGCAGAGACCCTTCACAGCCCTTTGAGTCTCTGACACCCTAAGAAAGCCCAGTCATACACCTCATCAACACTCTAGCTGTATGCCCATCTCTCTATCTGTGTATCCTCCCTCCAAGTCAGGCCTCTTGCCCCAACCCTGTATGGAACCAGTCAGAGCCCCTCTCCTCAAATGCTAATCCAGCTGCCCTGGCTCGGGGACATCCTGCTGCTAATCAGTGGCGTTGCTGCCTGGTGCTCTCTGGGCACTCCTGCCCCATCCCAAGCTTGGCCCCCCTCCCCCCTCTCCCCGGCGCAAAAGGAGCGGGGTGATGATGAGGACAGCCCCCGTGCAGGGTAGGGCATCTCTACAGCAGAGCAGCTGGCATCAGTCCGTTTCCAGTGTGGGTAGGGGAAAAAAAGGCCACAGCCTACCCTCTGTGTCACTCCGCCCCTCTCTTCATTCGTGATCCTCTTGTGGACCTGGCATTGGCTCCACAGACCCAACAGCACCGGTGCTTGATTGCCCATCTGGAGGAGCTCTGGATCAGTCCTTGGGTCTCCATCCATCGGGGTCTCTCATCCTGCCAAGCCTTGGCACCTGCCACCCAGCCTTTGTGGGGCCCTCTGACTATGGCTTGACCCCTGCTTCTCTGCTGGTGTCTTCAGGGACCACTTGGAGCCCCGTGGCCTGGGTGGTCTGCCCCATCGAGCCTCGGAGTCCCTGTGAACAGCTGACCTGCGCCCACAAGGATGCCAGGTGCTGCATAACTTCTTCCCCACTGTTCAACGTGAGCCCCTGGGGATGCCCCACACAGGCCTCCCTCCCTGCTCCATGAGGTGCTGGAGGATGCAAGGAGATTAGAGCAGAGAGGGCAGGGCTGTCTCTGTTCTTGATGCCAGCCAGACCCTTCTGCCCACATTGCCTGCTCTGAGCTCTGCCCGTAGCCTGGCTGGGGGTGTTGAGTCTGATTTGGGAGCAGAGGAGAAAGGGGAACTGGAGGAGGGGGTGAGGGGGAGGGAGGAGGAGCTGTAGCGAGAGAGCAAGCAAGTGAGTGAGTGAGTGAGGGAGGG